AGCCTGGACTTCTGGCAGTTCTCTGCTGATGTGCTGTTCCAGTCGTTTTTGGATAATCTTCATTAGAATCTTGCCTGCATGTGAAATCAATGAGATTGTTCTATAGTTTCCACATTCTGTTGGGTCACCTTTCTTTGGAATGGGAACAAATATAAATCTCTTCCAGTCAGAACTCCCCGCCATTTCCCAGGTAACATTGAACAGGCCAAACCCGCACGGAAGTCATTCCTCAGGCTGCTCTATTGATGTACTACTGTTTAAAATTTTTTTGGATAATCGTCATCAAGATTTTGATTGTGTGTGATATTAGTGATACGGTTTGATAATTTCCAAACTCAGTCAAATCACCTTTTTTAGAATGAGAATAAATATGGATCTCTTCCAGTCAGTTGGCCAAGGGGTTGTCCTCCAGATTTCTTGGCACAATCTGGTGAGCATAGTCAGGGCTGCATCTGTTCGTTGAAATATGTCAATGTGTATTCCATCAATTCCTGGGGCCCTGTTTTCTGCCAGTTCCTTCAGAGGAGTTTGAACTTCCTCCTTCATCACCATTACCTCTTGATCATATGCTGTTTCATGAAATTCTTCTATGCCAGCCAATTCTTTTTGGTACTGTGACTCTGTATACTTCTTCCATCTTCTTTTGATGCTTCCTGGATCATTCAACATTCTACCCTTAGCATCCTTAAGTACTGCAGCTCAAGGCTTATAATTTGTTGTTCGAGTTCATCCCTTTTTATTTTCTGACTCCAGCACTTTGCTATAATAATACTTTGCTTTGACAAAAATCATCTTAATAGATGCAAAATATACACTTGAAAATTGAACACATTTTAATGATAAAAATACTAAGTAAACTGGAATCAAAGGAACTCCTTTAAGCTGATAAAAGGCATCTACAAAAATCCACAGCTGATATACTTAACGGCAGAGTACAGATGCTTCCCTGCCAAGGTCAGGAAAAGACAAGGATGTCTATTCTTACCATATCTATTCAACATGGAGTTCTATGTAGGGCAATTAGGCAAGAAACAGAAATAAAGAATATACAGGCTAGAAAAGAAGACCTTTATCTGCATATAATATGATCTGTATATAGAAACTCTAGGAAATCTACCTAAAAACTATCAGAATAAACAAGTTCAGCAAGGTTGCAGAATACAAGGTCAATATATAAGAATCAGTTATACTTCCATATACTTGTAATGAATAATTAAAAATCACACTAAGAAAACAATTACATTTATAATAACATCAAAAACATGTTGGAGAGGATGTTGTGAGAAAGGAACTCTTATACATTGTCGGTGGGATTGTAAAATGGTACAACCATTCTGGAAGGCAGTTTGGTGCTTCCTCAAAAAGCTGAACATAGAAATTCCATATGACCCAGCTATTCCACTACTTGGAATAAATATACCCTGAGAAAGTGAAGACTGAGACACAAACTGAGATTTGTACACCAATGTTCATAGCAGCATTATTCACCATCACAAGAACATGGAAAACAATAAAATACTAAGGAATAAATTTTACAGAAGTAAAACATACCCTCTGTTAGTTACAAAATACTGTTAAGGAATATCTAAATAATTAAAAGACTTAATAAATGTTAGGAAAATACTCCCCAAATTGTTCTACAGAATCAACAAAATTACTTTCTGAATCATAGCTGATTTTTGTAGGAATTGATTGACGGTTCTAAAATTCATATGAAACTGTAAAGAACCAAGAATAGCCAAAAAAGTTTTGTAGAAGGAGAAAAAACTTTAAAAACTCACATAGTGTGATTTCAAACTTAATACAAATCAATGGTGGTTAAGACAGTACGCTATCTATACTATACTGGCATAAGAATAGGTGGATCACTGACATCCAAGCAGATATATGCACGCCCATGTTTATCGTGGCTTTGTTCACAATAGCAAGGAGTTGGAAACAACCTAAGTGTCCATCAACAAGCAAATGGGTAGAGAAGCTGTGATATATTCACACAATGGAATACTACCCTGCATTGAAAAACAAGGGACTCATGCAATATTATTAAAAATGGGTGAACCTAGAGGACACTTCTGAAATAGCAGGCCTCTGAAAACCCTATGCACAACAGAACACACGCAGATTAACAAAAAGGGCAACCTAGGTAG